GTTTGGAAAGGACTGAGTCTTAGCTATCTTTTTTTTTTTTTTTTTGCTGTCTGCTTCTAATTTCATTGCCTTTTGCTTAGAGTACTGTAGGCTACAAGATCTGAGGCCTTTGGAAACTGAAATTTCCTTTATGGTTGAATAGGCTGTTGATCTTCCTTTGAATGTTCCATGTGTGTTCTGTCTATGTCTAAACTTTGTGATCATGCTAAACATGCCTTTTCAACATCTCTGATCTCCCATCTGCCATTAAAACCTATGACTAAAATTAATGCAGCTGTAACATTTTCCCGCCTGTTGCTTGCTATATTTTGAGGCTAAGTTTCTTGGTGCACACATCCTGGAGTCCACACGTCCATGGCCCACTGTTCCCTCAAACAGTACAATGCCTTTGTCTTTTGTTTTCTACTGTGAACTCTCATAGTCTTACAGGAAAACAATTACGCTGCCCTAATGTGTACAGACTCAGTGTGTCTGTCTGAGGTTTGATACCTTCCTCCTTCTTTGTCTGAGTTTGAGAGAAGTCGATCTTGGATGTGAGAATAGATATCTCAAGCATTCTTCCAAAAATTCTCTTGCTGTTAGTAACATGTGAACCTATGCCAAAGTAGATCTGTACCAAAAATCTTGATTTTGAAAAATGTCTTCTTAGACTTTTATAAAATGTCCCTTTTGCTTCTTGACCAGGGCTGCCAGAGAACTGCTTGAGTCTGCCCCTGTGACCTGAAGCTCAGGTACAAAAATCAGCTCCAGAAGGGATGTGGTGCCCTGTGATGTGAATGAAATCAAGTCTTTGCCAAGTATGTTGGCATGCACTGCCATCCAGCTCCTTGGGAGAATGAAGGCTTCGAGTTCAAGTCAGAAACGGCAGATTCATCTGTACAGCAACCCCCTCCTACTGCCATCTCAAAAAAAAATAGAGACAAATCTTTGCACAGTGGAACATTTGGAGAAGCCCTAGGAATTGCCACAGATGCTGGTACCCAAAGAATGGGGATACCAAGCGAAGAAAGCGAGGAAGGAGTGAAAAAGGTGCATTCACTTTCAAGAGAGGTGCACTGGGCAGGAGGCTTACAGGTTCAGGGAAGCTGGGGCTAAGTAACTGAGTTCTTGGCCAGTACGAGCTGTATTTTGAGGTGGTCTAGAAAATCAAGGAAGCAGCCAGCCACGCAATCAGTAGGCAGGCAGGCAGATGGGAGTGTTTGACTGAACAGAGGATGAAAAGAATGGGTGACAGAAAGATAAGAGTTAAGGTATTAATTTAAAAAAGAAGGAAAATAGGGGCCAGAGAGATGGCTCAGTGATTAGCAGCACTTGGTGCTCTCAGAGGATCTCAGTTTGGTTCCCAGCACCCACATGACAGCTCACAGCGCCTCATAACTCCAGCTTGTGTATCTCACAACCTTTTTTGACCTCTGCAGACACTCATGCTCACGTACACACACCCACACAACGACAAACATATATACATGATTAAAAATAGGTATTTAAAATCCAACAAAACTAAATGGGTTAGTGAACAGAGAAACGAGGCTGTTACAGTAATGAGAACGTGCGAGTCTGGAGAGTGTGAAGGGACGGCGAGGCTGTTACAGTGATGAGAACATCTCAGTGGGGAAGCCACACTCTGTCTGACAGTGCCCGATGTCACCCCAGAGCACACAGCATCTGGAATGTCTTTTGGAAAACAGGGGTGCCAGGGTAGATGGTGCAAGCCTGCCTTTGTCTTTAATCCCAGAGCACAGGTGGCAGAGGCAGGTTCAGTGAGCTCGAGGACAGCCTGGTCCATACAGCGAGTCCCAGGCCAACCGGGGCTGCAGAGTGAAATCCTGTAAAAGAAATAAAAGAAAAAAAAAAAAGGAAAGGGAAGAAAAACAAACAAAAACTGGTTAGGACAAAAGGAACCATACCCGCAGTGTGGGCTTCCAGGAGTGGGACTCCAAGGTGCCGTCCTCTGGTAACATTCTGGGACGGAAGGGAAAAATTCTCCCTTATAAGATGATGAAAGAGGATATTTTCTAATTCTGTATGCTTAGCTTTAAAATGTTTGTTTCTATTACTCTGATATTTTCTGGTTGACCTAAAGGCTGTTTTGTTTTGGAACAAAAGCGATGTAATTCTGTTTGCTCCTACTCATGGATTTAATTAGGTGTGGTGCCCAATCTACAATAAATCATGGCCTTAGTTTCTCTTTGTTAAGGCAGTCGGAGGCCTTCGGGCGTGGGTGACTTACTAAAGTACACTCTTACTGCTGGGATCATCCCTCTATTGTCAATCACTGGATCATGTCACAACCCAAAGCCTCTTCCTTGGTGTTTTATGTTACACAAAGATCACATTTTATTCTCATATTTGTTCACAGACATGATTCACATTTTGCAATTCTGTACATAAGGAAATCATTCTAAATTCAGCAACAGTGCCAGCTTGACTAAAAAAAGTTATTTTCCATATCCACAAAAATGTTAATCAGATTCTTGTTAGAACATGTGTAAGAGCTGGTTTTCATTGTTACAGCTCTTGATGGCAGATTACTAAAATAATTTATGTTTTGTTGTGGGTACACTGGTGCATGCAGAGCCTCCCGAGTCACGTGACCATGTCTCGGCCCACACTTCTTCATGACACATAGGAATTATTTGTGTTTTGTGGTAACAAATGAATGGCAGGAACAGCAGAATTTCAATGTGGCCTTTCTTTATTTGATTAAACATAGTCTCTATTTATTCTTAAAAAAAACTAATTTAAGTTAAATGGCAACAAACCATGATAATTCAGAAAACATGTTGAAACCGAGAGTGAAGAGAAATGTTCTCTACGTAAACCACACTGTAAACCATAAAACTTATTTTTGTCAACTGCTTCTCATGACAGTGGCTGGAAATTTGACATTTCTACTACAGTAGGCAAACCCATGTATAATACACTCTCCCACACGCCACCTCACATCTCTATTTATATTTCCAAACTAAAAGCACAGCTCCCATCGTGCGGAGTGTCCTGTGCAGCTATCAAGAGCTGCATGTTCTCCTCCAGGCTGTGTCTGTGTGCGTGCTAGCCCCCAGTCACCCTCGACAGAGCAGGCCTGGTTCACAGGGGACAGCACAGCACTTTAAAACAATGGAGGTGAACTTTTCAATGCACTCTGGCTAACACACGTCTAGACAAAGAAGCCAGTGGACTTCATGTAAGGACACTCACTTGATCTCTCTCTTTAGAACCCGTTAGTCACCATTACATGTGAAGTCAGTACTGGGAACATCTGCAGGAGTCTGAGGCTGAGAAATTCAAAGCTAGTAAATACACAGGTGAGAGAAGCTTAGATAGCCCAGGATCTTACTGAGGTATAAACACTATACAGCTGACTCACTTGTATAAAACTTCCCTGTCTCCACTTAAGATGCTAAGAAGTCAGCACCACCCCGTTTTCATCCCTGCAGAAAGCATATTTAGTTTTGGATATAACATTTTAAAACAATAATGCATGCCTCCTAGGAGTATACCACAATAAATGTCTCAGAAACCACTCAGCTAATCCCAGGGTATAATCTGGCTGTTTTAAATTACTACAGGGAATATTATGGGCCTTAATGACACTGTAGCTGCACAAAGCCAAAGAAAGCTAGAAAAGAGAGGCCAAGAAGATGAGCTCAGAGCCAGCTAAAGTGACAACAAACATGTGGTTGTTTACTAGAACTGGAGAGGCTTTGTCTGCAGATGTTTGTGGTCACTAGAAGGTTCCAGAGGAATGAGTTGTTATGAAGATTTTTCAGAGTCTGATGAGAGCAAGATTCCTCTTGGAGATGGCACGCCTGAGGACAAGGGTACCCAATGGTACAGACAGAATTTATAGAGTTCTGTGGTCAGATCATACTCTACTGGTCCCACAAAGTGCGCCAACAAATTAATATCGTACGGATGTCATTTCAAAGCCTCCCAAGGAGGAGTCATCACTGGAGCTGTTGGAGCACAGATGGTTCAGCTATACACTGATATTCATACTTGCATTTTTGCATTATAGCTGCTTTTTCCCCTGTTGAACTGTAATGAATTGTCTCATAATCTGTTCCATCTTCCTGCCATTAGCAGGCTTTGAATGTTCACAAATAGGAGCAAAGAACTCATTTTCCAGGACTTTAATCACACAAAGAGGGAATGCCTAATTCTCTAAATGAAATGGTCTGTGATCACTGAAGCAGAGATTTAATATAGCACGGCAAATTAGGTAGATTTTAATAAATTACTTATCTCCCTGAATACTTTACATATGCTTAAAAAGGAATAGCCTGTTTGCAAACAGTGAAAACCCACAGCCTATAAAAATCCTTTGAAGAAAATGACAAATAAAAAAGTAAATTAAAAAATGAAATGCATTATATCTCAGACCCCCAGAGACAATTCCTTTGCAGCACTGATTCACAGCTCCATTAAAAATATCAATTAAACCCTTCAGCAAGACTGCGTAAAAGCTAGAAATGAACTTTTGGAGCTGCTCTTTGAGGGTCTGGATATCCAGATACATCCCAGCATTGTATAAGCTTGATGTAAGTTTAAAAAAATGATAAAAGGGTCTCCTTTCATGTCTAAGCATTTTAGAATTTGAGCCATACTTTTTTCTATGTAGCAACTTTAATTTGTAAAGTATAATTTTCCTGTCTGTCTATCTATCTATCTATCTATCTATCCATCCATCCATCCATCTATCTTTATATGAATACAATTTTGGATCTGGCATCAGCATCAAAAACACACTGATACCACATAACCTGGAACAACTACAATGTTTATGGAAAAATAAAACAGAACTGGGAGTAATTTAATACGCTGGTGCTAAGTCTCCTTCTTTATATTTAATTGATAGAAAGTGTATGCATCAAAGAAAATGCATACTGAGCTTTAATGTGTATAAAGTAGATATTAGCATTTTAAAGAGGAAGATTAACACATTAATCCAAGTAATTTTCATATATTGCTTCTAATAAAATCTTCACAGTATAAAAGTCTTAATGAGGCTGATCAGAGACGTTCCATTTAGTGGGACAATTAGGGATAACATAAAAAGCATTTCTTTTTCATTGGTTTCCTAAGATTTTAGGCTTTTACTTATGAAAAATAAAAATGGGAACTACTCCCAGTTCTTCATAAGAAAATGTTGCAAATGCAAATAGATGTTTCATGCTATCATGTTGCTATAAATTATTGATAAGGTAGCCCACTTAGGAGCACTGAAGTCCTAAGGGGTAGCAGTCATGGGGAGGAGTGGATAGAGAAATAAACAAACACAAAAACTATACAAAACTTGAACTTTCAAGCCTAAACCCAGGCGCTCCCTCCCAGCTCCCCATGAATTATAGATTACATACACCAGAGTGATTACTCAAAATCTCATCTTTGAACTTTCATGTGAGCATTTTCTTAGAAGTAGGATGCCTCTGGAACAGTTTCTCTCAAGCCTCCAAGTCCTTTCTGTATTGCTCGTAGACAGACTGTAGGGCATTGAGTGCTTCCACCGTCACCTTCAGCTTGCCGATGGTGCCACCGTCTGTTCGGGCATCAAGAACTGAGGAGAAGGAGTCAGCAAAGGTCAATGATGTTCAGTAGTTTTCTTGGCTAGGCTAGTTCACACAGCTTTGAGGTGAACACAGTTCTATGAGAAGGCCAAGTGTATGAAGATACACATTTTACAAGTAATTTTGAAGCTTACTAAGTGAAAGGCTATTGCTATTCCCACACGGTCAAAATTTCTTCTAACATACTGTGGAATACTGCAAAGGTATGATGCACTCAGTGTTAGGACTGGTCACCTAGATCCCTAAGGTGTATTTAATTTAAAATAGGGTTGCCTGCAATTAGAAAAGTAAGATGGCAGACACAGAGAACTGAAGACATCTGTGAGTTAGCTCTGAGGGTCAGAGGTTCACTTCTTGAGTGAGTGCTATCAGTGATGTCCGAAAGGCAGACTATTTAAGTCTTGAGGCTTCTTGGAACACAGCCTGGTCTAATGTCAGGCTAGTTCCCCAGACCCCATCAGCTAGGGAAAGATATTTGCCAGGGACCCAAGGCCCAAGTTTGTGAGTTTGATAAGAGTTTATGGTTCTTGTAGTTTCTTGTTATTTCTTTGAAGTTTAATGATGGAGCCTCAGCCTCCTCAACAGATGAACTACAACTACTGCTACCAGCAGTGCATTATTTCAATGAACCTTTGTGAGGAAATCTTCAAAAAAAAACTTTGTAGGCACTTGAGGTGGAGAAGGGAGCCACTGAAGTGCAGTGGCCTGGTGGTACCCAGCTTGTTCTCCTGAGCTTTCATCTTTTCTTGGAGACCACTCACTGGCAAATGACACAGAGCAAGGTATTACAATGTACAGGGAGCAGTGGCTGGACATTTGACTGACTTCTTAAAAGTGGGTGTTGGCAAAGTGTGATCCCTGTGGGCACACAGGAAAAGGTGGATCACTAAGCAGAGCTGGCTACAGAGACTGATTTTGGTGATTCCTGTCAGACTCGGTTCTGGAGTCTTGACTAAAGTGACATGAACATTTAATCCTCTCATCTTTTGCTCTGTGCCAAAGAGTAACTAGCTGCCATTAAGTCAGATGTGCATACTTTATGGATAGTCCAAACATGCTCCTAGTTATTTATTTGATTTAACTTGGGCAATCATTTGGCTCGATCTGGACCTCCTGTCTGAATCCTGCCATGTGTCCAGTATAGGTAGCTCCACATAGGTGTGATAGCATTGGAGACTCCTGCTTCTTAGGAGGTGCATATTAAATGATCTGACTGTGGCCTCAACAGGTAAATAAACAAGCCCAGCACAAAATAACAGAGAGGGTTCTGCTAACTTAGCCAGTTTGAAGCAGAATCAGTGAGAGTTTCTCAACTGATTGTGTATGGCCAGGGCCTTCCTTGGGTATGGTTTAGAAAGTACAGTTCCTTTTGTATGTGTGATGTAAGAACAGAAGGAGAAATGAGGCACTGCTCTGACTCACACCTAGCAAGGCAGAAATCTAGGAAGACTCTAACTGTCAGAATCCTAGCATTAGCAAAGGGGACAGGCCTACCCTTTAGGTGCAGCCCTGAACTAGAGAAAGCCTTGAGAAGATGCTGTTATGGTTGAGAACAACGAGAACAACACACTTAAGACCAAGTGTCTTACCCCAATCACTAAGAAATGCATTAGTTAATTCCCGTGAAACAAAATTATTGAAAATTCTCTATCAGCCAAGGGTAGGGAGGAAAGGGAGATTATATAGGGACAGGCTCTCAGCAGCAGCAGATGTCAGCCTGAGCCACACAGCTTTCTGCAGAGGTGTAACAGACCCTCCCAGGCAGCAGAATGAGGTCTGCATAGAGAGCCTAGTCTTTGGCAGACAGTAGCTGTGCAGATAGAGCCATGCTTGCATGCGTACCATCAATATCTTGCTCAATGATATCTCTTCCTTTCTGAAACATGTCAGCGAGGTCAACATGAGCAACGCCAATGTCTTCACATTCTAGGTCCTGCTCATCCTCGGGAGGATCACTGACCACGGTGAAGCGCACACTAGGAGGGCACAGGACAGAGGAGATCACTACCATGGAGCAGGGCGTTGCCACATTCTTTTTTTATAATTATGTGTTAGATGGTGATACCAGTAGAAAGGAAATTGCATTAGGCAAAAATCTTACCAGATTAAAACCTTGGAGCTCCCCCAGCTTTCCAGTGAGCACTAATCTCCTTCCTAAACCTGGATGGCAATTATCTCCAGAATGGATGACAATGACCAGGCAAAGGGAAGGAGCCAATGTCCATGTCATTATACCATACCTGAGATTTTGATACTTCGACTTTTTAAGAATAAAAGGATGACATGCACAGAGGCCATAGTAGGTTACACAGGCAGCATTGTTGATAGAAAGATGTCCTTCTCTGAATCCCAGCAGTACACAACTCTGGGGCTGGTAGCAAGCAATCTTCCAAACTGTATGTGTTGTCTTACACAATGCAGAGGTTGCCCTGCCGGGGAGCAGTCTGAAGGCCCACATCGAAAAGCTGAGCTCTACCCAATGGCTGTATCAGATATTCACATTGCTTTAGCGACCTTTTAATGGACAACCACAGCATCCAAGTTCTGCTTTACTTTTAGACACATAATTGCAGGGCTCTGATGGAGCTGATTTGAATTAGTGGCTTGTGCTGAGGCCAAACACACTTGGATTGACCAAATGACAGGAATTTACAGTTAAGTACTCTTTTGATAGGTCTTGGCAGCATAGCTTAAACCATGGATGTTTGTAAACCTTAACCATTTTAAACTCTGTGAAACATATCTATTCCAAATCAGAAACAAAACAAGAAACAGAAAAATTGAAGCCTCTGAGAAATCATGCCGTGAAAAATATACACAAAGTCCAAATGCTGATGGGTGAACAAGACAAAGCCTCTAATCAACTTGCTGAAGGCAACGGCCAGCACTTCATTCCTTTATAAGTCTCTGGTCTTAAGCTAGGAATAGAATGTGAAGAAATCAGGAAGTAGAGATCTCTTAAGTGAAAATGAAAGCTACCACTTGTTCACAGAGAAATCACAGAACATGATCCAAACTGACAAGCGGTCTGAGTGTTTTCCAGGATGCAAGAACAGAGGAGTTCAGGTGGGTGCCTGGGGCATTCATTCTTAGTTTACACTCTGGCTTCTGTACTTATATAGCTGAGTGGTGTTGGAGACATTACTCAGTTTCCTTATCTGTGCAATGGAGGACAATTATACCTAAGAATAGGGAGGCTCTTGTGAAGACCAGATGAAATGATGCAAGGAACCAGAGTCTGGGACACAGTAGGCTAAGTTGGGGGAGAAGGGCTGTTTAAACAGATTCCCAAATTATCTACTGATTCCTTTATTCAGTTACACACAAATTACTGTTGGAACCAGAGAGGTGGCTGCTCTTGCAGAGGACCTGGGTTCCAGTCCCAGCACCCACATGGCAGCTCACAACTGTCTGTAACTCCAGTTCCAGGGATCCCGTGCCCTCTTCTGACCTCTGCAGGCAGAGCACACACATGGTGCCATACAGACATGTAAGCAAGACATTCATGAACAAAAACAAAAATGTTGCCCTAAAATTAATGCGGTTTGGACAGGAGAGCTTAAAAGATGTAGCCCCTGCCATCACATGGTGTGAACATCACACTACCCTTCTGAGAGTGCGCATGGATGGCATCCTATGGCGCAGGACACAGGGAAAAAGGCTCTCCAGGGCTGTTTTCAGGTACATTAGATACCTTGGTACATGATATACTTTAATTTCAGGCTTTGAGATCATATCTGCATCATTTTATAAAGGCAGGCTATTACCTTCCTCGAGTGTACATGAATTCTGAGAGAAAAATTTTTAAAAATCCTTCTAAGTTCTACAAAAAGGGCTTGGGATGTAAAAATGCACTATCCCTGGCTTTACATTCTAAAGAGAGCAAAATGAGAGGTCAAATAAAATTCACAGATCTAAGGTGCAATCAGTGTTAAAACTCCTGCCTCACGCGGACAAAGGCAAGGACTTGGTTTCCACTCCCAGCATTAAAATAAACAAAGAAAACCAATGAAAGAGCTAGAAAGTTCAACTCAAAAGGGAAGAAAGCCCATTAGATGAATTTAAAAACTGAGGCCCAGACTCACACCCGGGGTGTGCAAACATCATGTGTGCCACAACTGTGTCTTCCTGCAAGTCTCTGCTTCTGAGCCCAGGCTTGCTAGTCCTATCTATCCCAGAATGTCCTCTGTGTCATCCTTCTTCCTAGCATTCCCTCAGCCTAGAGCCATATGTCTCAGGCTCTTGACTGAGTCTCTTCAACCTTCATAAATCAGCTTAAATGCCACTTTCTTAGATCGTCTTCCATTGTTATCTTCTCTTTTAGCATTTAACTTGTTTAGTTTCCTTCCTTTCTACCCTTTTATGGGTCTGCATTATGTAACCTGGCTAGGCTGTGACTTGTTTTTTGACTGGATTAGTCTCTAACAGATTAGTCTCTAACCTGCTCTCAAGTGCTGTCTCCTGAGCACTGGGACTGACAGTACCACCATACTCAGTGTCGGCTCAGTGTCTGTCCCTAACTATTGCAGATGTCATTAATGATTTGTTTACTTGTCATTATAGCCTGTCTTCCTTGTTGGTGGATTTTCTTTCTCTTGCTAAAGAGAAAGAAACCAAAAAGGAACTTGAATCAGAGTCAAAACTATGACTTCAAGTTAATAATGAAAAAAAATTGATAATGTATTTATTTTCATTTTATGTATAGGAATGCTTGCCTGAATGTCCTATGTGCATGTGGTGCCCATGGAGACCAGAAGAGAGCATCAGATTCCTTGGGATTGGAGAAGATGGTTGTGAGCCACAAACTGGTGCTGGGAATCGAACCCAAGTCTGGAAGAACAGCCAGTGCTCTTAACCACCAAACTGCCTCTCCAGTCCCAGATTAATAATTCCTTCAATGTATTTTTTCTTTCAGTGAAGCTCTGTTTAAGGTAGCAAGGGTATATTTCCAAATGCAGATAGACAGCCTGTAGAAGTACTATAAGCAATTCCCTAGGAATTGTGTGCTCCTTTTTTACAAGTCCAGGAAGAATGGTGACCCCTAGGTGTGGCTGCTAAGTTAGCACCATTATTGAGCAAGGCTGCCACCTGAATAAGGAAGTTCTCCAACTAGGAGCTCCTTTAGGAAATATTTAGAAATATTAAGAGCAAGAGAGAGCATTTCTTAGCACTCCCTGTCTTTGGATGGGGAAAAGGGTACCCGGCCTTCTTCAACACAGGGAGGTGAGCTGCATCCCAGCATTCACTAGAAAAGCATTTCTTACCTGTTGTCTGCACTAGGCTTTTGTGGGAGAAAAAAAGACAGGTATATTTGTGACTATGAGGGTCATTTGGACATTTTTAAAGGAACAACACTGGAGTGTGGGACTTACTGCCGTTCTTATAGTCTTTTCTCCTTCTGTGTTTTCTGCAGTGCCTGGAATTAAACCTAGCATCTCACTCATGCTAAGCAAGCACTCTACCACTGAGCTACCCCAACCCCGATGTCTTTCCATTGTCAAACTTCTTTGGAGGTAACTAAACTGCAAGGAGGAGCACCAACATTCCAGAAAGCAAGAGGGCATAGAGATGTGCTTTTGTAAACTTGCTGTAAGTACCTTCTGTGAGGCTGTTCTCGCCTTTGCAGTATGGCTTTTAAGATGTCTCTCGCTGCTGAGTTGTTTTCTTTATCCAGGTAGATCACTGTAGCAAAAGAAAAGACAAGTCCTCATGAGGAAGCCACCCAGACCTATGCTCCGTCAGCACCACCCTGCGCTCTGTCAATACTGTTTTTAAAGATACATACATCATGTCAGAAAGGATACCTGCAACATCTCAGAGTGCTTCATTGCTACCACTGCCTTCTTATGGCTCTGATAGAGCTGACTGAGAAGCTGGGGGGTCTTTACTGCTTTGTATCTGAGAGAGTCACAGTGAGTTCGCTCACCTGAGAAGCAAGTGATAATGAAAGTGTATAGCGGCATGCTTGTCCTTCCTGACAGCCCAGTAAGTAAAGCCTCCTCTCCTGCTGCCACATCCAACAAAAGGCATCTAGTGTGCAGGTGAGGGGAGTCGGGCCGATGTGGCAGTGCATGGTGGAACAGGGAGAGGGGCTTCTGGTATGTGAAGACTGTTCTGGTCCTAGCATTCTGGAATATGACTGGAACAGATGAATAACTGTCTAACGTGCCACCTGGTGTTTGAGAGTGCAAATGGACTGTACACAGAGTCGGCACCTGGGGGAGAAGACACTCCTTTTCTCCATGCCAGTCTGGGCTTAGGGCTCTCCTGTAGCCAGATGTCAATTTAGACATGGTCTAAAGTGTCCACAGGGACAGTGCTGTTAGGACTCTGGAGCTCAGGCTCCTTCAGGCTCCATTTCACTAACAATGTTTCTGAGGACAGTTTCAGTTCGACTCTAAATGACTTTGCAATAGTTACTCAGTTGCTTGGCTGTCTGACTGATCTTAATCACAACCCAAAGTTGTTCCCTGTGGGATGTGGGCACACGGAGTGGGAGACAGGGAGTAACAGTGGCCCAGGAGAGGTAGAAATCAAGAAAACTTGGCCTAGTAGCCAAGTTACCCAGCTCTGGAGAACCAAGGCCACTGTCCTTACAGGACACTATACTGTGTGGGATTCCTTACAGCTACCAACATTAACAGAGACCAATGCAAATGGTTCTGAGTGTTCTCTTTGTCATTGCCAGAAGGTCATCTTAGCAGATATATTTCACTACTGCTGAGGGTCAGTACCTCATTTTTAGAGGCTGTCAGTATATTAAACTAAATGGATTTTTTCCTAATTCAATATGTGGCTTTTCATAAATTCTCCCACTTCATAATCCTAAAGCTTTTAGGCTGTATTGGTTTCTAACATTTGAGGGCCAGAGTAACGAAGGCAATTTAGAAGACAACTGAGATTGGTGGTGTGACAGCTCAGTGGACAGAAGCACTTGCTGCCACAGGCCTGGTGACCTAGGAGTAAGCCCTGAAACAGTGGGGGAAGGAGAGAGCCAACTCCCAAGGGCTGGTCTCCAACCTTCACATAGGTGCCATGGCCTTCACACGGACCCCCACACTCACTCTCTCACTCACACTTAATTTTTTTTTTTTTCGAGACATGGTTTCTCTGTGTAGCCCTGGCTGTCCTGGAACTCACTCTGTAGACCAGGCTAGCCTAGAACTCAGAAATCCGCCTGCCTCTGCCTCCCAAGTGCTGGGATTAAAGGCGTGCACCACCACCGCCCGGCACTCACACTTAATTTAAAAAACCAGAGCAAAGCAACCCAGGCAGAAACAGTGATTAATCTCCATAGCGTTTCAGACTAACATGTGCCACGACATGACTGTACTCTTTTTTTTAAAGATTTATTTATTTTATGTATGTGAGTACACTGTAGCTGTCTTCAGACACACCAGAAGAGGGCACCGGATCTCATTACAGATGGTTGTGAGCCACCATGTGGTTGCTGGGAATTGAACTCAGGACCTTTGGAAGAGGAGTCAGTGCTCTTAACCTCTGAGCCATCTCTCCAGCCCCATGACTGTACTCTTAACAGATAATAATTGACGTCTTTGATATATAAATAAAACTATTTCCTTTGTATTAAAAGCCTTTGAATTTCCAACTCCAGCATTCAAAAGAAAAGGTCTTCAATTAAATTTAGATTAGTTTTGATCAATTTCAATTGCTGTAGTAACATACATATAATTTAAAAGGTAGCACTTTAGTTTAGAACATATGTTCAGTGACATTAGGTACAGACATGGAGGACTCTGTCACTCCTCCTCCTCTCTAGAGTCTTTGCCTCATTCCAGAGGAAACTCTACCGACTCATCAGTACCGGTCAGCCCTGTCTCCACCCTTGGGAGCCCTTACTTCACTTTCAGTTTCTACCAACTCCTCTAAGGGCTCACAGTCTGCCCTTTAGCTCTGATGTTTTCAAGGCTCATTTCCACTGCAGCATGCATCACAGGCAATGCTGATTACAGTTCCACTCTGTGCACACAACATTTTGTTTTCCCAACCATCCTGTGAGGGACTGTGGGTTGTCTCTAACACGGCTGGGTGTCAGGAGCAGTGGACACAGTTGGCTATGTGCCTGTGCCCTTGATTTTGATTCTTTCCACTATTTACACAGAGGGAGAACTGCTGAGACACACGGTGGTTCCATGTTTCCTTCAAAAATAAACTAGCTCCAGCTATGTTTCTGCAACCCCGACCCCGCATCAGGCAGCATTTATTGAGTGATGTTTATGCACTAGGCACTCCACGTCACCTCAGGGTTAGGGGCGAGGTTGAGCTACATTTCACAGATGACTAAGCAGACCCGAGAAGACTAGAACTCTGTTAGAGCACGTGGAGCTGGAGTCTGCACTCAGTCACCTAGAGCTCTCCAATGTGTATGTACCTCCCTCCTCAGTAGCTAAGCTTTTTCTGGCTGGAGACGGGAAAGTCTGTAGCTGAGCTGGGCAAGCCACCTGCTTCCTTGTTCTTCCATAAAGTGTTATCAACTAGATCCATAAAGCCAACTTAAAGATTTTGGTTGACTTCTTAAACACTTGTTTTCAAAAATAAAATTCTAGTTCCTAACCAATAAGTTTAGCTTTATAAAAGCATACCAACTTGGAATTATGCCTAGATTGGGCTTCTGCGTTTAGCTTCGTGGTTATCAGTGTTTAGCACACAGCCCTGCTACTTTAGATGGCTTGGTTGCAGATTACTGTGCTGAGCCTCTGGCATTCTGTTTCAGATTCGGAGTGTCTACAGTACAGTCTAGACCTCTGCAATGACAACATTCCTCCTCCTGCCGCTATCAATGCTAGTCAGGGTACCACACACCAAGAGCTATCTCAGATCAATGGTCCTTTGCCCAATTTTAAAAAATGGGATGAGGAAGCACTGCATTGCATGTTGTGGGAAACAGGGACACTGGTCCCCTACTGTTATGACATGATCCTATGATCCTGTAAGCACCAAGATTTATATGGGATTCTGAAAAAACAGAGGAGTATTTTAAAAGTAGTTTCAATTTTTACACCCTTTAAAAAGTAATTATGTTATCCAGGCAGTGATGATACACATCTTTAATCCCAGCACTGGAGAGGCAGAGGCAGTTGGATCTCTGTGAGTTTGAGGCCAGCCTGGTCTATAGAGTGAGTTCCAGGATAGCCATGGCTCCACAGAGAAATAAAGTCTCAAATAATCAAAACCCAACCCAACCCAACCCAACCCAAGCAAAACAAAAACAAAACAACCCTGACTCTCACGAACAGTTACAGTGTTTAACTCCTATTTCCATGAGAACTCATATTTGTCTAGAACTTGCTAAGTAGTGACATAAACTTCACAAGCACAAACTTAGAAAGATATGGTAGTCTAAACTCAAGATCGTCAATTCCCACCCAGTTGAATTCCTTTCCATCACAGAACGGAGGAAGCTCTGTTAGCTGTGATGATACAAATGGGGCTGGGGGCTGGAGAGCTTTATGCTCAGTGTAGGAAGGTGAGCTAGCACGAGCTGTACCCAGGGAAGATGACTGCACAGAGGTTGAGAATAGGATAGTGGGTTCCAGAGAGGGATGGGAAAGGTTGGTCAATGTGTCCCAGGTCATACTGGATAAGAGAAATAAGCTCAGATAAGCTCTGATTGCATTGTAGAGAATGAGTATCTCAAAGAGGAAAGGATCATAAATATTTTTACCACAAAGAAGGTTAAACATTAGCAAAACCAGACAGGCTTAGTCTGATTTGAACATTACATGTCTATTAAAACATCCCTGTAAAGATGTATAGCTATTTCTTTACTGTTATCTTTTGGGGTTCAGCGTCTAAGCCTCATGCTTGTTAGACAAATACTTTAGCACTGACTACACCTGTACACCAACATTTATAATTATTGTGTCAATTAAAAATACAGTAAAAACATCCTTTACTTTGGGAGGCTGGATAAATCTCTATATTCTCTATCAATATCAAATGCAAGAAGAAATGCAGATGGATTAATTATAGAAGGTGTGAACTTTGAATCTTTGATAACTTTTATATTAAAATATTATCACCCCTGTAATCTTTATCTTTGCCAAATTTCTCTTCCCATTAGTAACAAACTCTGATGTTCTACATCCTTTTCATTTTCGGAATTAAACTTTAATTGTTCCAGAAGACGGACTGCTCAATCCTCAGAGACCAAGGGTCCAGCTCTGCACAAGTCTCATGAAAGCCTCAGCCGACTCCATTAATCTTTCCTCTTCCGACTGTCAATTCCCCAGAAAGCTTTATTCAGCCCAGACAACACTCCTCAGGCCTACCATTCATCTTTCTCCCCCAAACTATTTTCTTTACTCAGCATTCTCTGAGTAAAATTTTCAAGCCCAATAAAATGCAAATGTTTTATTCTTGCTACCTATGTCTATCAAGTGAATTGAGCTCCAATTTTTAAAGTAACAGTAGCCCTCAGAAGATACATTCTTGTATGCATCTGGAACTGGTGTTAACACCATTTATAAAGACTGAATTTGATTATGAATAATCCTGGGGATTGCTAGTTTATTCCAGTCATCTATGTACCTAATTTAGGCCTTGACATTCAAATTCCTTTTGTGTGACTCTGATCAATCGCCATGCAGAGTCAAATCAGAGCGGGGTTCAGTGAACCTCTCTATGGATAAAGTGTTCGCACAAGAGAACGTATCCTAATTGTGCCCCAAATCTTCCACTGGATTTCAAAAGCCAGTTTGGAAATGAAATGACCTTCATTAAAATTCAGTGAGATTTGGAGGGTGTATTATATTGACTTTCTTTAAGTAACAAGTAAATGGTAAATCACTACAATAATTAGTTACTTTAAATAATAATTGTCTATTAACCAAAGATTCAGGGAACTCTCTCTGCAACAGTGATACAGATATAATGATTAAAGAATAAATATTTCCACTGTCCTACCTAAATGGGAAAAAAAAAACCTACTAACAAGATGTGTGTGTATTTCTCACATCTGCTGATGGCCTGAGGTTGGGTTTTTCAAAGGAAACACCAGTGTCTAGGTGCTGAGTGCATCCCTTTCTCCTGCTCACAAACAAAAAAAAGATGCTCACAGTTTCAAAATTTGTCAAGCCCAATAGACAAGAACAGAAACTTAAGTATAATAAACATTACTACTGAATTCCTTTAAGATTTTTTTCCCCATCAAATGTGCAATTCCTTGGGAACATAAGCAACTGCTAAAACACCAATCAGATAGTAGATGCCTTGCAATAAAGGGCAGAATAAAGCAATCTGGCAACAAGGTCCCAAACAGACCTCTACAACTCGTGTGCACAAAACCAAAAGGCTTCAGCATATATCATAGGTTTGATTCAAAGAAGGACTTGATTCTAGGCAAATAGAAACATTTGTTCTGTTACATGGCCACATTTCTCAGTGTATAGGGATTTTTTTTCAAGAACATTTTGTTGCCAGTTTAGCAAATACTGTGCTGTTGACATTTATACAACACAAAAGCCAAGTCCATCCCTTTCCTTGGGGATATCCTCATTAAAATTAATTGAACATCTATTTGACTAGTCCTGACATTTGATTTGGCTTACTTTTCTGGTACTGTACAGTGAATATCTTTAGGAAGCCTGAGAAAATACTTCTGGGCATGTTTCTTCTTCTACGGTTTCTCAGGCATCAACTGTAACAGAGCTCGAGCTGGAAAGGGATCTTAGGAATCACCATCTCTTAAATAAGAAAGCAAGGAACTAGGGAATCAACATATCTGGACTAAGTTCACACATCGGTAAGCACTGTGCACATAGAAAAGATTAGAGTAGACCTCTGAATCTCCAAGATTACTACCTCAATAATGAATGTATTTATAAAAAGCCAGTGTTTTTTTGTTTGTTTGTTTGCTTTGTTTTTTAAGTAGGCATGATCATCTGTAATTCTGCTCCGATAGTAGCAAGATTGCGTGTTTCTTAAAATGCAGTTTCTAAGACTGGAAAAAAAAATATTAGTAGTCTGGCTTCTGGCTCATGCTTTTAATCCCAGCACTATGGAGGCAGAGGCAGGTGGATCTTTGAGAATTCAAGGTCAGTCATTCTGGCCTATATAGCCAGTTCCAGCACAGCCATGACTATAGAGAGAGACCTTATCTCAGAACAACAACATCATTGTCAACATCGTCACTGTCATCATTGTCATCATCATTGTCATCCTCCTTAGTCCCTGTGGTGTTTCTGAGTGAGAACGGCCCTTACATGCTCATATGTTTCAATACTTGGTTCCCGGTTGGGATAACTGTTGGCGAAGGATTAGGAGGCGTGGTTTTGTTGGAGGGGGTATGTTTGGGAGTGACTTCTGAGACTTCGAAGGCCCATGCCATTCCAGTTAGTTCCTCCTCTGCCTCATGCTTGCTGTCACAGTATGTAATCTCTCAGCCACGCCCATTTGCTGCCACTGTCCCCACCATGGTGGTCATGGACTAACCCTCTGAAGCTGTAAGCCCCTAATAAACTCCTTCTTCTGTAAGCTGCCTTCATCATGGTGTCTCTTTACAGCAACAGAAAAGTAACTAAGAGTGTGCAGTCAGGATGAGACAATCTGCTTCATAAAGCGAGGCTGGACCCATCTTCAGCACTTCACATTAGCATGGAGAATGTGCTAAGATGTTGCAGCTCTTGATGAAGGAAACTCGATATGGCTTTTGTTTTAATTCTGGTTCTACATTGTTGATTATGTAACAGAAAAACTCTTGAGCATTGATTGGTCTAAACACTCTTAGGGTTTTTACTGAGTCTGTGTTGATCCAACAGACGTACATGTCAACTGACAGCCCTACAAGGGAAAGCTGCCTGCTGAAACGGTGACAACTTAAGCATCGCTCTATTAGGCAGAAAGACTTATGTGATGGTAGTGCCCAGAAGGGCAGCCCACACTCAGGGCACTACATGATCTGAACACTGTAAGCCAAAAACCCCCATTTAAAATGTCATGTTTTTTCAATTAAAACCTAACAGTAGACTTAGGGGCACTTCCTGTAGATACCATAATAGTAGATAGAAGCTGACAGATACCACTTTCCCAGTGCCTGTGTTTTCTCTTAATTTTACAATGACTTCAAAGTAATTTTCTTAATTTTTATGCTCCAGTGCTGGCTTTATTAATTTAGTCTGACAACACTTCTATGAATTCATGTAAACATCAGAGATTTAGATTCTGTGCTGCTACCTTAGCTTCCTTCATAGATAGGAAAAACCCACATAAAAGTCTATATTGCAAATAAGCCATACATACCATTGGTATAGTTATAGTAGACCCACTGTCCACTCTTGGGTTTGGGCAGTGACATAGGAGTCTCCTCAGCAGGAAGACTGTAGAACCGGTACTCGATGAACAGTCGCTGAATAGTGTCCTCCCTGGTTATTTGAGAATCATTTAGGTTCAGAGCTATGATCTCAATCCGAATTTCTTCTGATGCCTGTTAAAAGAATAAAATAAAAAAAAATCAAAAGCAAATAATCAAGCAAAAATACCATTTATTCTATTTCACTATTAGTTTAAAATAAACTGTCACAGCCAATGGATTTTTTTCTGGAATGCAGTGCACGCTCCCCTACATTCCACATGATAGATTCTTCACGACACACACAGAGAATGAGATTCTAATGCCCCAGGGTTTGAAGTGAATGGTGTCATGGCGATCGTCTGCTGATTTACATTTGAGGCTATAAATACCCCACTGGAAGTCTATGAGGAGTGAAAATTATGAGGTCTTCATCTCCGATGGCTTCCAGAATGACAAGTATCAGTTGGCCTTGTTTCAAACTAGGTAATGAAGTACGTGTTTATCACTGCTTTATTTAATCTGCAGTACCTGGGAACGCTCAATTATGCAGTGGTCCAAGCCTGTTGAACACCTTCACACTGCTATGCTGATCCACATAGTTACAGCGGTCGATAGCAACTGGAGCAGAAACTACAGCTCATGCTCACATTCCTGCCGTAATGTCCTTCAGTCAGTAAAGACCAGTTCAAACAAAAGAAGCAAAATCTTATAGCTAGGTTTTCATATTATTTCTTGCAATTTATTTTCCATTTCACATTTATAGAACGAAGAATTAAAACGACATGTGTTTGCTTTTTCTCCTGGAACCCACAGACATTAACACAAGGCCTTAACAAACGCTCCTTGAGGAGTGACTTCAATTGACAACTGACTTCAATATTTGATCATACTTCAACATTTCCTGAAGTTAAATTTATTTCGCAGAACTAAAAATTTGCTTTTTATTGTTAAAATTCTTCTCTACACTCAGAGCTATGCTGTCAATCACATAAACTTTAAAGAATATTTAGAAAAAGATGAAAACAATACTTGTTTTGTGATCAGGTTGTAGGAATTCACTGTTCAGTGCATAGCAGTATTTAAATCCACCATAGTGCCTATGCAGACATTTCAGTGTGTATAATTAAGCAAATTAAAAAAAAATAAGTATCCTATGTAAGTATGTCTCCACAAAGAACCGTTTTCATTGCTGTCAAACCCCTCAATATTTGATGAAGTAATTTTACCCACTTCTTTCAAAAGACATTTTCTTTTATTATGTATTCTAAGACACTTTAACTAAAAACTGAAATCTGAATATTTCAATAAGGTTATTTTATTATTCAGTAGATTCATGGAAATTTTACTAGGATGACAGAGAAAATTCCACACCATTCTGTCTCCACTAATACAGGTACAAGGCTGCAGCTGGCAATATTACTAGGATTAGCATAGTATGATGAAATATTTAAAGGAAATTTTTTTCTAAAACCTAATAAATCAAATGACTGCCAAATGTCATTAAAGTGATGGTCTTTGACTTGAATATGCTTTTCATATTCAAATTTGAAAAGAAAGAGATGAAAGCCTGGAAAGGTTACTCGGTTTCAACTAATAACCTCAAGCCCTCCCTGTTCATGTGCATAAAAAATGAAGTTGGCGCTATTGTCTAACCTCAGTTCAGAAAGACTCCTCTGTGGCCGGTGAAGACTACATGGTAAAGAAAATATCTTAAATGATGTTATTTTTTCTTTAAAATGTACTACAATTGCAAGAATTGCACACACATATTTTATAATGCTAGCATGCATAAAGCACGATGCAAAAGTAACCAGAAATACGGACAGCTTAGAATTGTATGGCAGAGGTATGTCACCAAACGCCTGTGTTCCTGCAGAAAAGAAGAAAGGAACAGCTGTAAGGAAGGAGCATACACTTAATTCTAGCTTGTGAAGGTCAGAATTTAAAACTCTTTATGACTCATGTAATGAAGCCAAAAATAAATTTTAAAATAGCTGAAGACCCTAATTTACTTAAGGTATTATTTTATTAATAATATATTAATTATATGATTCACAAGCAGAAATTTTCATGATTTTAAGAACTAATTTAGGCTGTCAAGATAACATGGAACTCTCCAAAGATAACAACAAAAGGAAAATACACTGAATTATCCAAAAAAGGGGGGCGGTCATTTAAACATATTTGTCTGTTTTTCTTTCTGTTCCAGTTTTGTGATTTTGCTAACTTCCCTCACCCCAACATTCTAATTTGCTGCCCAACACTGTGAGTGGAAGCCATGGTGACGATGCTCATTTGATATGGCATGCATTAAACTTGCCATAGATCTATAAAGGAGTGAATGTTAAGTCACCTATGCCCAGAAAGCAAGTTTTTAAAAAGGCATTTTTCAATGACTATAACTGTCATTAATAGTACTAGCCAAATTATTTTGAGCACTTTATTTACTCTGCTACATTCAAGTCAAAAGTCTAATTACTTCATGGAGCAGGATCTGGAGATGAAGAGGCCCAGCAGTCGTGTGGCCGTACAAGTCAGAAGTCAGTCTTCTCTCTCCTCCTCCATCCCATCTGTCCTCTGGCATTTCCTGCTTCAGTGGACAAGTACTATCTTTTGACTGTTGCTGCCTAAGACTAATAGGTCTAGAGTCTTCTTGCTGTTTTATCTTCCCCCTCCATCTCTCCTGTAGAGATCACCAGTTCTGTTCATTTAAATTTCGATTTCAATGTTTTGCTGGACTGTTGTAAGCATTTGCTATCTCAGTCAGTGTGCAGCCACTGGTCCCTTTTCTCATTTAGTACCTGAGAAATGTCTTCAGATTCTTGTTGGGGCTAACTTTTAATACAACAGTTTTAGTTATGAAAAGATATAAACTTGACAGAATGAGGGAGAAACTACAAAGGATTAGTATAACAGCTAACTTGTTAGCAATGGGAAGCAGACTGTATCAACAAATTTAGTGACAGCGGCACCGTTATTGTGACACCCAGGAAGACCCAGTAGGTCTTCTCTCATGACCATAAAAGATACATGTAAGACAAGGGGCAGCCTGACCTCTAATCTTTTGCCTTTAGTCCCAATCATTCTCCTTTATAAGAGAATTCTCTCTCTAAAGCCAATCCAATCACCTTTTATTTTGCTTGAAGATATTTCTACTAGCCTATACCTTAGCCATTCCTTCAAGCTATGGTGTGTTGGGTATTTTTTTTCCATCTGTAGTTTATTCTGCCGGAAATAATCTTTTCCTTAGGACAGAATGTAGTCACTTGTGGACCATCTGTTCTGTGCCGACCTCTGAGCAGCTGCAGCTGCTTTCTCTGACAGTGGTCACTGCTTCTTGAATCTGCTGCACAGCGTGGACTCCTCACCCAGTTGCTTCTCTCTATAGACCTTGAGTTCCAGCAGGCAGGCCCAGAGCTGACATGTCTGCTGTTTAACATCCTAGCCAGCACCTGGTACACAGTAGGCTCACAATAAACATCAGTGGAAAATAGGAGAATGAATGTTCTCTATGTGGCCAGAATATCTTTTATATTGTCAGAACTATGTGAGGCAGCTGTTTCTAAGGCTGTCTCATTTGGAAAATATTTTTTGTGTAGTACATTTTGGGAGACAAGTGATTTTTAGTTACTGCAAAAACTCTTATTGCTCTAGGTTTTAATTGGGGAAGACTACCTGAAATGTGAACGCACTGAATCTGGGTGGTGGTATGGTATTACTTTAACTCTTGTGTGTGTTTAGAATTTGTCACAATAAAAAGAGACTTTAATTAAGAGAATTAGGAGTAATAATATCCTGATTGAGAAGACAGTGGATGAAGTTAGAAATGGTCCCAGCACTTAGGAGCTAAGGCAGAAGAATCAACATGAGTTTGAGGCTAGCCCTGGGCACATAAATGAAAGACTGTCTCAAACACAGACATAGGCACACAGACACACAGACACACAGAGACACAGACACACACACACAGACACACAGACACACAGACACACACACACACACACACACACACACAGAGAGAGAGAGAGAGAGAGAGAGAGAGAGAGAGAGAGAGAGAGAGAACAGGTGACACATCTGCACAGCATCAGTATCCACTAGATAAAGGGAAGTGGCCAGATGGTCCAGGCTTGGGCTGCCCCTGTGTTTCCTCTTTATCGGTGTGGACCTTTGGTACTAGGTAAGTTGATGCTTTCCCTCCCTGTCTTGTCAGCTTTCCTAGTCAGTGAGATGTCAACATCAGCATGTACGAAGAACTTTTATATGTTGTGATTGAGGTGGACAGAAGTAACAGAAGTGACTCGAGGAAGAACTGCGTAAGACTAATTTTTAATTGTCAGTATAGATGGACACTACACACTCTGTGGTGGAATGATCTGGAAATGTGATGACAGCTCATATTACTCATAGAGAATAATGAACCCGAGCTCCCATGTCTTGGCTCTGTCCCACTGCTGCCCCTCCCTGATGCTCACTTACATCCAGCCACAGTTCTCTGCAGTGCTCCTTAGGTTGTTGTTAGCAGGCTGAAGATGTCCAGGATTGACCTCATAGCAGCCTGCTTAACTCTGCAGCTGACCCAGCGGAGTTGGATTGATCCTAGGACCTTGCAGATGCTAGATGGGCACTCTGTCACTTGACTATTCAGTTTTTAAGAAAGTAACCCAAGCTGACAGCCCCTACATAGTGTCATGGCTTTCTGTCAGGATCACCCATGATAAAGTCTGTGCAACTCGTCTCAGTCAGTAAGATCTCCATCTAATGATGGTGAGGTTACAGATGTGTTTAATTTTAGTCTGAGTTTCTATAACAAGATGGGGTTTAATTTCTCTGTACTTAATTTTTAAATTTACATTTATTTAGTGTGTGTGTGTGTGTGTGTGTGTGTGTAAATGCTGCAGTGAGTGTGTGGCTAAGGGAATCATTCTCTTCTACCTTTTGGGTCCTGAGGATTGAACTCAGGCAGTTAGGCTTGGCAGTGGGGTTTTTACCCACTAAGCCATCTTGTTGGCCTCATATTTAATTTTTCAATTATAAAACATAAAACTGTGAGACAAGTACAGAAAGCAATTTGGCTCTATAAATACCCAGTCTCACACAGATGTTATACTGTTCTATGTACAAGTTAACTCTTT